ACTGAATGCAGATTCTGTGCCATTTTAGTTTGTTAGGTTACTTTCACTGCAGATTCTGTGCCATTTTAGTTTGTTAGGTTACTTTCACTGCAGATTCTGTGCCACTTTAGTTTGTTAGGTCATTTTCATTGCAGATTGTGTCATTTTAGTTCGTTAGGTCACTTTCACTGCAGATTCTGTCATTTTAGTTCCTTAGGTTACTTTCACTGCAGATTCTATGCCACTTTAGATCGTTAGGTCACTTTCATTGCAGATTCTGTCGTTTTAGTTCGTTAGGTCACTTTCACTGCAGATTCTGTGCCATTTTGGTTCGTTAGGTTACTTTTACTGCAGATTCTGTGCCATTTTTGGTTCGTTAGGTTACTTTCACTGCAGATTCTGTGCCATTTTTGGTTCGTTAGGTTACTTTCACTGCAGATTTTGTGTCATTTTAGTTTGTTAGGTTACTTTCACTGCAGATTCTGTCGTTTTAGTTCGTTAGGTCACTTTCACTGCAGATTCTGTGCCATTTTGGTTCGTTAGGTTACTTTCACTGCAGATTTTGTGTCATTTTAGTTTGTTAGGTTACTTTCACTGCAGATTCTGTGCCATTTTTGGTTCGTTAGGTTACTTGCCCTACCGATTTTGTGTCATTTTAGTTTGTTATGTTACTTGCACTGCAGATTCTGTCGTTTTAGTTCGTTAGGTCACTTTCACTGCAGATTCTGTGCCATTTTGGTTCGTTAAGTTACTTTCACTGCAGATTCTGTCGTTTTAGTTTGTTAGGTTACTTTCACTGCATATTTTGTGTCATTTTAGTTCGTTAGGTCATTTTCATTGCAGATTCTCTTCATTTTAGTTCGTTAGGTCAGTAACTGTAGCAGAGAATGTTTGATAATTACTAGCAGAACGTGTCGAAGTTGACAAAATATATAAAGTTGTGGTGTTTCACTCAATTCTCATTCTTATCTAACCGAATACTTGGCTACTAAGATATGCTCTTTCTAAATGTTCTATTAATACTAAAACCATCTTCAGAAATATTAGTACCGCGAGTACTGAATCCCCCCTTTAAAGGTTTTACTTAGTCGTCCATGTGTTTGTACTTGTTAACATCAAAAGTTTTGAAACTACACAGCAAAACTATTCGAAACTCAAATAAAAACAAAACCTGTTGAAACATTCTTATTGCACTTGGAGTTTCTTTAAAGTATAAAAATGCAACATTTTTATCAGCATAAAACGACATAAACAATAGTCTGAAAATTGGCTTTTAAAAAAACATTTTGGTGCTACAGCATTACACGAAAGTTACGATTTAAATATTTTGCAGCAGGAAAAGTTTTTTGTTAAATTTTAACACAGAAATTAACATGCTCTTGATGGGCCTTTACACACCTATACATATAATTGTTGTTTGCGTATTTCTTTCTTCTTATTCGTTATATCCATACGCAATGAATGGACAGACATCCTTTTCCCCAAATGATATTCTGCTAGTAAAACTCGTCGACAATATATATATAAAGTTGTGGTATTTCAAGCCAAGATCTAGGTACTATCGAATTCATATTGGAAAATTTGTCTAAAAAACTTCATTGTAAATAACATTTTCAACATTTGCACCTTCAGGGAGATAAACTTCTAACAGATCGAATGATAAAGCTAAATAAAACTGACCATGAGTAACGTATTGGCTCAACTAAGTGCAACCCCGACAGATAAGACATCCGTTTTTCCAAGTTATATCATTATATCTATAATATAATATCTTAAGAAGTGGTAATAGAAAAGTAGACGTTTTCGAAGATATGATGCCGGTACGGTTCATATTTCTTAAGTTTACTACAGACATCTTTGTTTTAGCTGGAAATAAACGACCTTATAACGCCAAAATGTTGTTTTAATTAATTAGACACTCGATGTTTCGCTTTCCAGTTTTATCAGGAGCGTTCACTAACACACGAACCAAAACTGACAGTACAGAGCTTCAAATGGCTTACTGTTGAAAGAAAAGTATTGTTGAAATACTTAACTGCCACCTGTAATAAACAAAAGTTCAAAACTGACGGTACATAGCTTCAAATGGCTTATTGTTGAAAGAAAAGTATTGTTGAAATACTTAACTGCCATCTGTAATAAACAAAAGTTCAAAACTGACAGTACAAAGCTTCAATGGTTTCAATAATATATAAGGTCGTTTATTTCTAGTATTAATATGTCTGCTATACACCAATATGCTCTTCAGAAATTAAATCATTTGTTTCAGCTACACGTTAGTTCTTTTCTCAGATGTGAACAAGTTTAGTGAACTGTGAATAGAGCTAACGTGAAAGTGACATACTAATAACCTGTGGCTGTTTATTCCATGTTTTTCTCATGTCACATGTCGTTGTTTCAGCGAGTTTATTCTTGCACACGTTAATATGGTTTGATTCAATATATTCATCTTATACAATACGAAAAACGGAAACCTGAAAAACCCCATGAAACCCTCAGATGCTCTGTGATTACAAGTTTTATGTTGTTTAATCACTTGATTATATTAATCGAAAATGAAATAAGCTATATTCGAAACATTATACCTAAAACACAGAATATTGTGATCTTTTCAAAACTTTCACGTCTGTACTTAAATTGTTTTGGAAGTTGTTTAGGGTACTAGTGATCAGTTTGTTCATTGGTTTTCACCTCTTGTTACCTTAAGCCTTATTATGTATTATAATAACTATAATGTATTATATTAATTATATTAAACACTTCCTTATATGCTTTCACATTTTTTTCCATCTCATATTATACTGGTTCATTCCAGCAGCTAATTTCAATATATACTTTCAGAGGCTATTATATAAAAACATTAATAGTCAAAAAGCATTGGAAATAAAGAACAGTTGATTTATGTAAATATTACATGTTTCTATATTGTCAGTATTGTCTTCCGATCACAGCAAGCTATCTACTCAGAGAAACACTGAGCATCAACCTGAGAATGAGAATACTTAATTAAACATACTTTTTTTACGTTCTTACTTCTAAAGCTTAGAATTCATAGTGTAGTGTTATCACTATTAATGATATTTACGTCCATAATTCCAATATTGTCTTCTAAATTGCGCTCAGTTTAGGTGATTTAAGTTAGTCCTAAATCCATATATAGTAAACTAACAATCCAAAATAGTCTCTATAGTGAAAGTACAGCAATAAAAAATAAAATAAAAAGGTAATAAAATTAGCTATATTAAACTTACTTATGTAATATCAAAAAAAAAAAATTAGCCTTTGGCTTCAAGTATTGTGGCCAATGTAATGTTCAACATGATGTTACCGTGTATAAGCAGAACTTGAAACAATCTTCCGTAAAAATATCTTGTAACCAATGAAAAACCACTGAATAGCTCCGATAAAGCACTACGACACACGTTAGTGTTTAGGTGTGGTGTCAAGTAACAAAACGTTACCAAGAGTTTGGCCAAAAGTTAATATTTATAGAGATACAAAATGAAAATCAAGAAATTAAATGTAATACAAAGAAAATAACGCATTAAACATACTATGAGATTTGTCTAACACAGCTCCTCACACTTTAACTTCTGTCATTTAAAGAAAACACAGGTAGCAGGATACAAGAAGTAATAAATAAAGCTAAACGTTCTTTGAAAACCGAAACATAAAAACGATAGGCCTCGAGAAAGTTGAAAATAATAAATCTTGGATAGGAGCGTTACAACAATCGTAAATATGGCAAAGAAAATAATTATTAAAAACTAATGTAACTAAACTAATGGCCCTCGGCGGTTCAGCAAAGAATCTGAATGTTTATAAGGCTAAAAATCGGGTTTCAGTAAGTAGAGCACAGATCAGGTTTCAGTAAGCAGAGCACAGACAGCTCCTTGTGTAACTTTGTGCTTAATTACTAACAACAACAACGACAAAAATATTAATAATAACGAGTTAGTTCGTTAGGTCACTTTCACTGCAGATTCTGTGCCACTTTAGTTCGTTAGGTCACTTTCACTGCAGATTCTGTGCCACTTTAGTTTGTTAGGTCACTTTCATTGCAGATTCTACTAAGATATGCTCTTTCTAAATGTTCTATTGATACTAAAACCATCTTCAGAAATGTTGGTACTAATTTCAAAGTTTTTCCATCTCATATTATGCTGGCTGTTTCCAGCAGCTAATATCAAAGTTTTTCCATCTTATATTATGCTGACTCTTTCCAGCAACTAATTTCATAGTTTTTACATCTCATATTATGCTGGCTCTTTCCAGCAGCTAATTTCATAGTTTTACATCTCATATAATGCTGGCTCTTTCCAGCAGCTAATTTCAATGTTTTTCCATCGCATATTATGCTGGCTTTTTGCAGCAGCTAATGTCATAGTTTTTCGATCTCATATTATGCTGGCTCTTTCCAGCAGCTAATTTCAAAGTATAAAACTTACACTGAATGCAGATTCTGTGCCACTCTAGTCTGTTAGGTTTCTTTCACTGTAGATTCTGTGCCATTTTAGTTCGTTAGGTCACTTTCACATCAGATTCTGTGCCCCTTTAGTTCGTTAGGTCACTTTCACTGCAGATTCTGTGCCATTTTAGTTCGTTAGGTCACTTTCACTGCAGATTCTGTGCCCCTTTAGTTCGTTAGGTCACTTTCACTGCAGATTCTGTGCCATTTTAAACATGATACTTGAATTCGTTGTCCGGCCTGCTAACCGTTAGAACACTTCAAACCCAGTTCGATTTAGTAAGGTTTGTTGTAAAGTAGGCTTATACCGACACTTATCTATTTGTAACAAACATTATTTTGCTAATTTTCTAAATAAAACTTCCCAGATGATAATAAAACTTATTGCCAACTTCTGATTTATTATCTTATTGTAACTGTTTAATACAATTTTCGTTAAATAACAATAAGAATTTAATAGTAAATGTTTTGGAGCAGTAGTACGCTAATTAAACCAATTATTGAAAATCGAATACATTGAATTTCTTCACTCATCTATTTGAGTAATTTTATAATTCCCGCCAAAAATTATAATTTTAATTCTGGATATTTTCATCACATCATACACAAATATATGGAATTACGTAAAACATACAACACAATTACATATTTAACACCATTCATTTAAAATATGCGTTTCAAAGCTAACCTCTCTGACATAAAAAAAGTAACAATCATTTATATTCAGTAACAGAAGTAAAATATAATAGAAGTATCACTATCTAAAAGATTTCTGTGAAGCGACACCTTGATGTTCTTATCATTTTACCGACAATAATTGTCGATCAACGGCAAAAAACCAGAACTATAGAAATTTGTTGTTTTTGTTGGAGCGATCAGACACTTTATTTAAAAATCCTAATCTCCGTTTCTACAGGCTCCTACGTTCAACTTTGAGAGTGACGTCAGAGACTTGGATTAATCCCACTGATGGCAGAAACTTCAAAGGAACCTGTGGGATACGAAAATCGAATTTAAAATGTTTATATAAAAACTGAATTGTAAAACAAGTGAAACACAGTAGCTAGTTTTTATTTTTCATCGGCTAATCAGACATTATTTCAATTCTTGATACATATACATGGTGTAGCTAAAATATACAAAAACTGGGGGAATTTTCATGTGGAGAGTGGGACTTCCTTGAGAATTCAGAATAAAAGAAACTTTTCTAATGAAGTTATTATTTCTTAAAACAAGGAGAAACAGACATCCACTGTAGAATCCCATATATAGAATAGAACAAAGGTATTGGTTTAAGGTCATGTTATCATGTTATGTAGCATACAATGTGATCACTTGCGAAATAGTTGATGTTGTTTACTCGACTGAGTCAAAGTCCCTTCAAAACCATCACAATTAAAACTGTTTACTTACAAATATTAACATGTTTACTGTACAACTACTTCAGGTGACCTTTGTCTGTAACGATTGTATTTGTACAACTACTTCAGGTGACCCTTGTCAATAAGAATTGTATTTGTACAACTATTTCAGGTGACCCTTGTCAGTAACGATTGTACTTTTACAACTACTTCAGGTGACTCTTGTCTGTAATGATTGTACTTGTACAACTACTGCAGGTGACCCTTGTCAGTAACGATTGTACTTGTACAACTACTGCAGGTGACCCTTGTCAGTAACGATTGTACTTGTACAACTACTTCAGGTGACCTTTGTCTGTAACGATTGTACTTGTACAACTACTTCAGGTGACCTTTGTCTGTAACGATTGTATTTGTACAACTACTTCAGGTGACCCTTGTCAATAAGAATTGTATTTGTACAACTATTTCAGGTGACCCTTGTCAGTAACGATTGTACTTTTACAACTACTTCAGGTGACTCTTGTCTGTAATGATTGTACTTGTACAACTACTTCAGGTGACCCTTGTCAGTAACGGTTGTACTTGTACAACTACTGCAGGTGACCCTTGTCTGTAACGATTGTATTTGTACAACTACTTCAAGTGACCCTTGTCTGTAACGATTGTATTTGTACAACTACTGCAGGTGACCCTTGCCTATAACGATTGTACTTGTACAACTACTTCAGGTAACACTTGCCTGAAACAATTGTATTTGTACAATTACTTCAGGAGACCCTTGTCAGTAACGATTGTATTTGTACAACTACTGCAGGTGACCCTTGTCTGTAACGA